CTTGAAGAAAACTGGCCAACGGGACTATTTCAAAATTTAATTTCGGTTGTTTTCGTCGTCATTCACAACGTTCATTCGGAAACCTGTTACCCGTCGTGACATATCAGGTAAGCTTCTGTCTCAAAAAAAATAAGAATAAACAGGTTATATAATCGAAATGTCATAGCTTCATCTTGATTTTTTTTGTAAATTAGCTATTATATATACTGCTTTACAATAAATTATATACGAAGAAATACATTTAGTATGTTAGTTCGCTTACTACTATTGTAGTAATTCATTTTATTTAATATAAATAAGAAACGACTTTTTGGTATCTCTTAATTTCAATTTCAAATGACCAAATTACTTCAGTATAAACAAAACATGTGAAAGCAAATGACAAATAATGGTGATACACACGAAAAACGTTAATTTTTTATATGTAATATACTAACTATCATATAATTAAAGTATACAGAACAAAATTCTATAATTCAGAAAAATGTAAATTTTAACAAATGAATGTGAGATTGAAGTCGAGCCACTTAGACTACAGATTTCACCTCGGTATCTTCTTTACAAATTGCTAAAGATACAAAACGTTCTCGAGTCTGACGAGTACATAATCTCTCGGATCGCGGGTTGCGCTTGATCAGCACTCCTGTCTCGTGTTTCACGTCCGATGTCATTGTCATTAAGCGTATGTTCAAATGCCTGGTACCCAGGACAAAATACCCGTGTCCACGTTTGACTTCAAATCCAGATCACCCAACGCGCCCCTAAGTCTTATAGGCACACACGTTACTAATGCAGATATCACAACTCTAGCAAATCAAAACGAAATGCGCTATCGTGGGTGAATGCTGATGAACACCTTCTCGGTGTTGTCGTCTGTTTGTTTTGTTTACATCACGAGTCACACGGAGTATCACTGAGTCAGATGCTTGTCTCTAGCGTACACCATATGCTCATTCCTGGCACCTAACTGCAAATGACATCCGTTTATAATAGCCGACGTTCATTCGTACATACATACCGTATGACACTAAATGGCTCTCTGCAGTTTTACCAGACTGAACACCTTAATTGTTGTAGGCTACGGCTATGAGTCTAATAAATCGAAACGCCGCGGCAACGCCGGTGCTGAGTAGAAGCTGTCAATAAGCCATTATCGAGGCCTCATGCACGCATCTGTTTCGAAAACAAATGCAAGCGTTTTAATTGGCGCTGTCTAACTTTACTCTCTAATGTACACGCTCCATTTGAAGTTGATCTGTCTGGGCAATGTTTTGTCGTCATGCTTGAAATGTGCCTGGAGAGAAAGCAAGAGGATTCTCATTCACTCGGTGTTCAGAGCGAACTTGTTGACTTAGATATACGGTGGTTGTCTGTTCAAACAGAATTTAGCAACAGGCTCTGATAAAAGATTGTATTCGAGGAAGAACACTGTTCTTTGGATGTAGAAAGTAAATGATCGGAGCTCGAAACTAGCCGATTAGTGAGAAAGTAGACATTTACACAATTGAAGCTTAATGTTAACAGGATGATGTTGGTATGTTTTTATGAAATAACAGTATAGAAAAGAAGACTATTGAAGTGGAACTTTACTTGATCGTATTTGCAGCCAAAGAAAACAAGAAAAATACGGTGTTGGCAAACAATATACAGATATAGCTGTACAGCCTTTTGTAAGCACCAAAAAGAACAAAGAAGAGCGTTAGTGCCAGATAGCGGTACACCTGAACAATAAACCAAGGTGGACAGTCGTCGAAAGTCGGTGTGACTGTCGATGATCGCAGTTATTCAGGACGGTGTAAAAGTGTCCTTATGTATAAGAAATGTTACAATGGTACATCGAACAGTTTGTGCATATATAAGCGAAGCTACATCGTTAGATAGAGAGCATCCGGATAGTAGATTATGAACGCTTGTGTATTACTTTGCTTGATCATACAAAGCCAGAGAAGCCAGCTTAAAAAACGATTTTAATTTTTTTTTCATTGCGGAATGAAATTCACTGAACAATGTATTTGTTTGAAAGTTGTTGTTGTTCAGCTTGATGTGGTTATAATTAAAAACCGATAATAGCTAAGCTATCGACAGCACAGTAGCTATAAATGCGTGCATTTATAACTTTTGACGTGTACAGTTTTTCTATCCGTAAGCCAAATATGCATTAGATACATTTAACGAAAAAATAGATTCATTGCAAATATTTTATTTTGGATTCATTTTGAATCACCAATCAATGAAGTGCGCCGTTGTTGATTCAGAGGAAGGTAAATTCGTAAGCGTTTCGCTCTTATGCATTGTTTCGACAGACGAAGTAAAATATATAGCAACTACAACCAATTGCTATAATGGAATATGTCATCCCAATAACAATAAAAATACTAGGATAAAAGCACTCTTTATTGCTCGAGCCATTCATTAGGCAATGTCTTACTGATATGGAGCTTTGTTCATTAGTATAACCAAATATGGGTATAATATAATTGTGTATAGGTATGCTTTATTGGAGCGATCATTTCTATTGTCTATCGCGTTTTAGTATTCTGCAAAAAAACAGCGGCATCCGAAAAACCAGTAATCTTCATTTATCGTGTCGAATTCATCGGATAATACTCACAAGTTGTGCTTAACAGTTTCGTATACGTCTATTAATTTTTTTGTTTTAGTGACACTGTTGGTTCCTCCTCTCTAATCTCCGTCCTGTGTTCATTGGTTCTCCACGGGCCTCTCTCTATTCTATAAATAGGCGTTGCTCTGTGAACGCAGGTCCGAAACCCCGTAGTAGACTACGAGGAACTGGTTACGGCATACCTTTCATCGTTTTTTTCAAAACGCGATTCACTAAAAACTGACCCTCTCCAGAAAAAAAGACTTACAGCAAGTAACGAACTGGTAAGTGCCAGGAAATCCTTTAAGGGTTACGTTAATTGATTGGTGCGGTTGAATTTGAAACTTCCTTTGTTTGTGGACAAAGCACTAACATCGTGCGAGACGCACCCAGTAGGCTCGGTATCTGAAAAGCACATCTGTAATGAGCGAATGTGGGTAACACACTTGCTTGGAAAACAGAATGATGAAAGTCGCGACAATATAAAAAGACTTGGCTAGTGTTTGCCAGCTCTTTGATCAGCTTATAGATTAAATAAGAACTGATTTCATGCAAACTGATGCTTAAGAGAAGAACTGAGAATTAGTGGTGCATATTGGTCTTAGTGAAAGTGAGTTCCATTGTCGAAGCTGGACGCAACATTTGGCTCACATGAAATAAGCCTTGTTTTAATAATATATATAGGGCCGTGAATAAAAGAGTTGCCTAAATTCATTTAAAAATAAGAAAAGCAACTTTTGTGTGACTAGATGTTTATAACGAAATGCCGACTCTCGCTTAGGTCTTACGAGAATGATATTTATGACAAGAAGGTGCGTTTCTTGCATAATATTGTTTTACTGCTATCGTGGTGTTTGAATTCAAAAAGTTTTTCTTTTTCTCATAAAATTTGCTTTAAGAGGTAGAGTTAGGTTATTGAAGTGAGCAGGTTTTTCACATCACATGCCTTTTTTTAACACCACATATGGCTTTAAACAAACATTAACTATCATTGCAATTATATTAGCTATCACATATCAACAAATTTATTCGCTCTTTGTGTGTTTTATGTGGATATATGCAAATGTTTTTATAGCTTAAGTACAGGCGTATTGCCAAACATGTATTTTGAACTTGGTGTTGCCAAGCCCGGGCGTAACCAGTTGAAATCTTTATCGGTAACTTTATTCTTTTGGGTATTTGATGACCTTTCTTCAAACAATAGATATGCTACATAATTACAACTTATATATCGAAGGGCCTGAAGTCTCATTTCGTTGTAGTCATGTTTTTTTATTAATTTAACTAAACTTTTTTCAGCTGAAATTGTAGCGATGAGCGTGGATCAACTAAAAGACGAAGGCAATCAGTTTTTCCGGCAAGCCGACTATGGAGGAGCGTTAGAAAAGTATATGGAAGCTCTGAAGATAACCAACGAAGGCGACAGCGAAAAAAAAGCCATCTTGCACAACAATAAGGCTATGGTCTATCTCAAACTTAACAGGTCAGTAATCTAAAGAATAATGCTAATCTCTGAATAAAGAAGCACTTGCAAAATCTGTCGCTCGAAGTGAGTTGGCCTGAACAGTTCAAACAGGTACTCTAATCGTCGCAGCTATCCTAGACATGAATTTTACGTAATGCAACTTTACGCCATTTACATAATATTACTATGACGATTGTAGCATGCTTGTATTGTGTTCTCAACTTTGTAAATGGATTTATCGTCGCTTATATTTATTATCCCTTTCATTTTTTTGCCTGTTTCATTTATTACAGGTTTGAAGATGCCATAGAAGAGGCTTCGACAGTTCTGCTATTCGATCCGTCAAATGTGAAAGCACTTTTTCGGCGTGCGCAGGCTTTGGAAGGCCTAGAAAAGTACGACTTGGCCTTTAAAGATGCCCGCCAAGCCCTACACATAGAGCCGAAGAACGCATGCGTGTTGCCAATGCTTGAAAGACTCAACGCTCGATTGCAGGATATCGCTAAAGAGCACTCCAGTACAAAAAGTCGGGTTGGTAGATTATCGATTATAATCTCTTATTAGGTAGACTATTAAAAAAGTAATAGTTTTTATTGCAGTCACGGAGATACATTATCAAATGCGTAGCACCCATTTGCTATGCTACTATTTGACTAAGTACCCTATAATTTGTCGATTATTCATTCATATATGAGACCTCAATATATTATAACGAAAAATTTATTTTTAGGATCTAGCATGTTAAGCTTTGAATAACTGAAACATTATCAAATATTGGTCCATATAATAGCAAACGGTTAAATTTCATTGTTGGTTTACAACGAACTAATTTTACTATGTTATTATATATCCACAATGTGCGAAGAACGTGCATTTCTTATTTGTGTGTTTTTATTTTTTTCTACATGCGCGTATATCCCCTCTCACCTTATCGTAAAGGCTGAAACAATGCTGAACATCATCAAAGAGATAGAGTCGCCATTTGAGAAGAAAATGACCGCAGTGAACAACTTGATTGTAGTCGCCCGCGAGAGGGTCGGCGCTGATATAATTATGTCACTGAAGGGGCCTCATACGCTGTACCAAGCTATGAAGTTGCTCCAGAATGAAGATTTCAATCACGGCTCTGTTCGAATCTTCGGTGAAATCTGCAGACGAGGAGTAAATCAGAGCCTGAATATCATCAAGACGCTTGGTAGGTACCGCATCAAACGGTAATATATGTCAAGCATGCTCTAGATTTGCAGTTTTGAATCCTCATTTTTAATTAGCTCTTTATTATTATTATGGAATATGACGCTTTCTTCAACTACAAAATTCTTTGAATTTTGTAGTTGCTCGCAATTATCTGGCTCTGCGTTATAATGGGCGGCAGAAATGTGCTTCATCTGTAACAATGTTCGTGATGTGAATGTTTTTTTGATCGGTTGGCTGTGCCTCTGATCGAAACAGATGGACACTTCTGGGTCAAGGTGTGACATACGAAATTATGTTCGTATTAGATAAAGTGGACAAGTTATAAAGTCAATAAAAACGACAAGGACCGTTTTGCTTCGGATATGGGCATAGCTCAGTTCTACGTATCGTTTCGACGTTGTACAATAGACTAGGAGGTGATGAAAACATTCGCAAATAACTCAAACTTGAAGATACGATTTGGTTCGTACTGAAGAGAGCCACCGTCCGTTTTAAGTAGCAGTGCTTAACTGGGCTAGTAGCAGCAGACTTAAATCAAAACATTTTTATATTAAAAATGACTCTTGTTAATCAGGATAATAATTCGGACGCTGCTTGATATTTGTACCTTTATCAGTGCCCGTGTTCAAGCATCTTCGAAAACTATTGCTTAATTATGAATAATATTTATTATCGTTTCAGCTCGCCAAAAAATAACGCTAACAATGTGTTTATTTTACCCACTCATGTTATAGGTCTTCCATATTTGTTGGATTTGTTTACGTCGAAGAATCCCGCTTTTATTGTTTCCGTCCAATTTATGGTGCAGCAAATCATCAATTCATTATCGGGAATGACGCTGGAGGATGGCAAAGCGGAAAAGGCGATGATCAAGAAATATTCAAAGGAGATTGATTCTGTATGTGCAAAGCTGTCTCCTTGAATAGACAGAATCGGCGCGTCCAAATACTGTTAATGATATGGTGTACCTGTTAAATGCTTAGAATCTGAATTGCTTGATGAAAGAGGTATTAACGGAATTAAGGACCTTAAAGGTTTTATTGGTTTAGTTTTTATTATAGGTATGTATTTGATAGTAGCTTGCCATTACGTGTATTAATATGCCCTGGTCTCAGGAATCACCTTGGCTTACTATACCAAGTTAAGCATCAGAAACTCTATACTTATTCATTAATATTTTTGTGTCAAATGTTTTATGCTATTGATTCTTAAGTTGGCTAGTGTACAACATCATAGTAATTGAAACATTTACATATTTATGTAAAATAGTATCCTTTCCTCGTTTTAGGTGATGCTAACTTTAACGACAACAGTCAATTCTCGTGTTATTTCGGGCCTCGGACGAGATGCCATCCTTGAATTGATCACCAAGAACGCCGACTACCAGGCACTGGATTGGGCACTTAAACTTGTCGAAAACGACGGCTTGTTCAGACTTCTAGACGTTGCGTCCGAGCTGCCGGAAATTAGGTACGAATCGTCGATGGAAATCACTGACGAGACGAAGCCAAAAGTCTCGGTCTGTCTTGACCGAATTTGGTACTGCATGGACCACGACGCTGCGAAAGACAAGTTTCGTAAGTGTGCCAAAGACTTTATCGATGACAAACTTCGGACCGGCGAAGAGCTTGAGCCGAAGATACGAGCTACGGCGACGATCACGGCACTGCTTCTGGGGCCGCTCGAATGTGGTAACAGCATCTTGGCACAGGCAGGCGTGGTAGAGATGATGATCGCGATGGCGGGCTCTGACGATGAAATTCAGCAGAGGGTAGCTGCGGAAGCTCTTATCGCGGCTGCATCAAAGAAAGACAAATGCACCTCGATCCTGTCAATGGGAACGACAATTCTCAAAAATCTATATAAAAGTCCCAACGAAAATATTAGGGTGCGAGCGCTGGTCGGTCTGTGCAAGCTGGGCAGTTTTGGTGGAACCGATTCGTCGATGAGACCGTTCTCCGACGGAGCGTCCCTCAAATTTGCTGACTGTTGTCGAAAGTTCCTCGTCAACCCGAGCAAGGACCGAGATATAAGGAAGTGGGCGGCGGAAGGCCTTTCGTATCTTACCCTTGATGCGGATGTGAAGGAAGACCTAATCGATGACAAAAATGCTATTAAAGCATTGATTGATTTAGCAAAGGAGATGAAGAGTACAGTGCTCTATGCCGTTGTGACTACACTATGTAACGTTACTAATAGTTACGATAAACAGGTGAGCTACATCCAAATAATTTTATTAGGAACGTGACTGTAACATACAAAGATATAATGTAAGTTTAAGCTAACAAATCCTGTAGATCTAATCTTTGGTTCGGCGATTAATATTCACTATAAATCCCTTTCGCCACTCAAATGTATAGGAAATTCTTCCCGAATTGTTAGAATTGGCCAAATTTGCAAAACAGCATATTCCGGAAGAGCACCCGATGGACTCACAAGAATACGTCGAGAAACGGGTTCGAATTTTAGCTGAAACTGGCGTAACAACCGCTTTAGTTGCGCTCTCGACAACAGAATCAAAGAACTCACGAGAGATCATTGCGCGTATCTTCAACGCGATCTGTGAACAGCAAGATCTGCGAGGAATTGTGGTCCAGCAAGGCGGAGCACGTTGTTTAATACAATTGGCGCAAGAAAACACACAAAATGGAAAGGTCAGTTTTGAAGAATGATGATCATCTATCTCAATGTTTCAAAATTCGTGGCTGAGTCGTGGCAAATTTTTGTAGTGAACGTTGTTATTTACTTATAGTAATTCACAAAACAGGACCTTGCTTTAAAAGTGTAGTCTGTAACAGATTAGCAGATGTTGTTGTTGAACTAATAATATCAGGGTGACCTTGATAGATTAAATATAAAGCAGTTCTCTGGCCTTAACCATATATTAGCGTATTAGTGTATTCAAGGGAGTCCTGTTTATAGCGAACTTAGGCTTACCCCTGTTTCGATATATTTGAGTTACACCTTGATTAAACCTAATAGGAATTTCCGTACTGTTATAATCTAACAGATTACCACCTTTTTGTCTCTTTCTGAATTTATCAAGTTACACCCTGCCCCAGCCACAATAGATCTACCCATTAAATTCAATGGGCATGAATAATAATATGTGTCTCTGTTCTATGTTGTTGTTCGGATCAGATGATCGCCGCTCAGGCACTCGCCAGGGTTGGGATTACGATCAATCCGGAAATCGCGTTTCCTGGCCAGCGCGCGTACGATGCTGTCAAGCCTTTAATCGATCTGCTTGCCGTCAACAATACAGGTCTGCAGAACTTCGAAGCGTTAATGGCACTCACGAATTTAGCCGCGGTCAGCGACTCGGTCCGAAAGCGAATTGTCAAGGATGGAATAGCGCCGATCGAGCACTACGTTTATGAAGACCACGAACATCTCCGACGAGCAGCTACGCAATGTCTCCTTAATTTAATGATGCTGGATGATGTTCAAAAACGTTTTGAGGCAAGTAACGAGAATGAAGAGCACAATCGCGAAGAACGTGCTGAATCATTGGACGTATAGTGGATTATTTCGGAGAGAACGCTCAATGTCATTATATAAAGAGCACTAACAGCGTACCGTTTGCATGCTAGATGTGGTTTGTACGTAGTACCGAACTATGCCCATGGGGCTTTGGCAATCTAAAAAATAATTTCTTTATTATAATTATCTTTAAAAACAAGTTGAATTCCGCTGGCTACAAAAGCCGATTTTACGTTTTAGGACAATATAAATGATTAGCCTTATCACTTCCTTCCAATTGAATGTTTCAGGCTAAGACGTCTCCAAAAAGCGAGTGATTAATAAAGCTTGCCAGCGTTATTACCACTTGCTAGTGCACCTAAGGCAAAAATAAATTTGTAATCCGTGTGCGAGTGCTCATCTAGTGTCCTCTTCAGAGCTTTACACATTGCTATAGCCTTGTAAGGCTCCGGCAACCCTTGCAGCGCTATCAAGCGCTCATTAAATCAGTCTGATGATGTTTGAAATAGACAAATGTACTACTACACACTTGCATAGCTTCATTTACCGGTTTTCTTGTGCACCTAGCCTGTTGCAGAGATTTCTGGCAATGGAGGTTGCCATCAGGTGACACCACAGTTGGAATGAAAGCGTGGATTGCCGAAAGAGATCGATGTGTGGACAATACAATTTTTTTGAACCCCCAAGCGGATAAAAACGATAATTAAATACTATTATTAATATTATAAGAACCGACCTAAACTTTATCTTTTCGGTGGACACAGATCGGGGATCGCGTGAAGTTGTTTACACTTCTGCTTGGAGAGGATGATTTAGGCACAAGAATGGCGGCTGCTGGAGCCATGGCCATTCTGACATCGGCGAGCGAGGTGGCCTGTAGCAAAATGATCAAGGTTAAAGACTGGGAGGACCTTATCGGAGCAGCTTGCCTCTGCGAAAACATTGAGATGCAATACAGGTTAGTAAGAATTGGGTAAACAGCTCGGGTTTTGCTAGCAGTTTGCGAATAATCGTTTAGGCACTCCAAGAAAATCTTATGTTTCTTTTTAGTGAATCCATCTATGTGCTTGATGTTACTAAGTGTTAAAAGATGACGCTGAAATACCACTTTCATGCGTCACGTCGTAAATACGGTGCACGTAAATGTTTCAAATAGGTATATTTAATTAATTCTTATCTTGAACTAGATAAGCACTAAAAGACGATTTGCTAACGTTGCAATCGCTGACATTTGCAGAGGTTTCTGTATCCTGTATAATCTGGTAGCTTCTCGTCGCGAAGTGCTCGAAAGGATGGTTAGCGGAGAGTCAAAGCTCATGCAGATGTGTCAGGCCATCCTGCAGGTTGGACAACTCGAAGATCGAACGCGGGCGTTGGCGCAGGAAGTTTTGAAGCGTGTCGATGAATGGACGAACAACGCAGCAGACAAGACTGATGCTCCTGATTCCACTGCACAGGAGCAAGTTGATTAGGGGAACAGCTTGTCACAAGCCAGTCACCGCCGTACCTCAACAAAGCACATTGCTTATCAACGGATGACGCGACATAATTGAGTACCCTTAGCAAATGCTGCAGCATCCATGAGCCTTATAATTGACTAGCCATTTCAGCCAATTTGCTATAACTCGAGGTATGCGTTATTGGCCAAGGTTTGTTTATCAGGACAGCATAATCAGGCCATGAGATAAGACGGTGATCAAAACTAGTAAACAAAACTAGTCTTGAATGTATAGTGTGGATGATGCATTACCAATTCATTACAAGCGGGAGAAGAACGCTAGTGTCAGCTTTCTGTTACCACTACTATCATAGACACAATAATTAAGAGAAGATACTCGGATCCGAATTTGGATTGTCGAGCACAAAAAGTCGTGCAGTTATTCTCATGTCGCAGTTGTTAAATGGGTCGATATACTGTCATTCAATGATTCATACGGTTTGTCTTACTGCGCGATCAACAATGACAATCATATGTATGACTCTTATCCTAATATAATAATCCTATCGGTGCTCTTTGCCCATAAGCTGATATCTATTCACATATGTGGTATTGACTTCGGCCACATTAACGGTCACATAACGTAGAGGTCTCCTCTAGATGCAGCTGTGAATATTGCCACAAAAATTAGTCAACGAGCGACCATGTTGACGATTACATATGAGTTTATTCACTTGGATGCTGAAGATGTACCAAACTACGTTGAATGTTTAATGCAAAATAGATGTGGTATAGCTGTATGGAAAAACGGATATTTTGAGAAGAATATATTTATATATTCTTCTCAAAATATTGCGTTTTAACTTCATGAAATCGTCTCTTCAAGTGATTGGGAACCGTCTTACTAATATCTATTTATATGATGAAATTCAACCGAGACAATTAAATTTGGTTATCGATAATTGCTTTGCTAGATCTTTACTGACATCAATCTCGTGCTTGAAAAAGAATTGATTTTCATGGCGATAATCTGTATGAAACGATGATTAAGGTCACCTGGATATTGGTTAGCATCGGTGTTGTACAGAAGGTGCTTGAAAATAGATATACTCAGTAGTAATCGTTGATTTAGGAACTGTTTCCTGTTTGAAGGGTTGAAGTGTATCCGTAAATAGTCCAGTATAACTACGATCACAATGATGCGTTGGTCTAGAACACGTGTTAAATTCGTGAGACATGATGCATGGAATAAAAATCGAATTTTCTGTTTAATTGAATTGGAGCCTAAATTGAGGGAGCGAAATCACTAGCGATGTGTGGGTAAAATAGAGCGGATTTCTTCAAATGCAAATGTCACGATCTGGCATAGTATGATATCAAATCTGATTTTGTTAAGCAAAAACACTTAGGACGGATTGTGACTGAAATTTGTTCGACACTGCACATTAGCATTTCGGGCCTATTCCAGCTAAATTAAGTTAGAGGACTGTTTTTCTTTGCTACAGACAAGAATGTAACACAGTCGACTCATTTGTGTTTATTGAACCCAACATGTCAGTATGGAAATGTGCCAGCGTGTTTTCATGATAAATATAATGATTAATGCAAATAAATCAATTGTACGGAGTAACGGCTAATATCTTGGCAAACAAGCTAAGCCTTTCCATGAGGTCAGATTTTATCTAAACAGGTAGATTTGGCATTTACAGGTGTTTTGTTTGCCTTCTGAATGGTTATTGCCTCTCCATGCTGTTGCTCTTCAAAATACGAAGAACTTAGTTGACGGCAACAGCGTTAGCTATACAAGAGTCAACCATACTCTCATTGGCGAAAAACCCTCTATCGACATGCTTCCAATCTGCTTAGAGCGATCACAGGCTTTCGCTGACCATCCCAACAACTCTTGGCGTCAGAGGTATATCGGCTGCTTTAACAGATTTTCGCGGCTTACATCGCATTAACGGCACTGTTGGCAAACCGTAGTTTGCTTAGGGTAGAGAACCTGTATCAGCTGAATTTTCTATTAAGTAATAGGTAAAACGAACAGCGCGCAGGCTTTCTGTAGAACTTGGAACTGAAAACATGTCTATATATTTACGTATATATATATATATACGGGTGCTACGTTAGAGGCATGACGTCAAATGGTATTTTGAGAGATAGCCCTAAGGCCGTTCTAGGCGTATTAAGCAAAGCGATGTGTCAATGAGCGGAAACTACAAATAGAGATGAGACCCCGTAACTGCAGCCATCGTCAAGATGGCCTTTGCAAATGAGAAAGTACTAAAAGGAAAGGGGTCGGATAATTAGCTGATGTTGGAGCAACCTATGATTCAAGGTGTGTGAGAGTTGTGTCTTTTAGTCCGCGTAGCTTCAGCTTTGTAAATATGACCTATACGGTAGCGAAAAAGAAGACAAATATATCATTTGATACCACTAGAACATAACTGAGTGCCTTCGTTCTTCGAGACCCTAACTTTATCATGTTAGTTAGTCTTAGGCGAAACCTAAGCCGAACAGTTGCAGATCTCGAACTCTAATGACTCCCGTATTGGTTATTACCAACGCGTGTTCTACACGACATATCTATTCGTACTTTATATGTATTTACTGTTAATTAAAGCTCAACCCTATTTAATAAAGAACGCGTTTGCAACAATTTCAAACAGTATCCTAATGTTATTATCAAATTTTTGTATCACAAATTATATCAATCATAGATTAGTGCAATACTTAGTTGCCGTAAGTAAACTTCACACTTTGTGGCAACTTTGGTATGGAAACCTTTTGTAAATAACAATTTTTAGTTCAGTGTCAGATATACTATCTGTATGGACAGCTAAAGAGCTGATTATATAGATTTTTATATATATACATATTCGGTTCATTAACGAGAAGTCTTAGCAAGTTTGGCATAGAGAAAGGCCGATTCCTCATCCATGAAACTAATTTTAATCTTCACAACAACTTCTAGCTACGAACCTTCACAAGTTTTTAAATTCATCCTTCAACATCACCTCAACAATGTACAAATTTGCATAAAACGACCCATACACTAACGGTTTGTGGATAAAGACAAAAGAAGAAGCATTCCAATATTACCTAAAAGTTAATTATCGGACTATCGGACGGAGTCGATGGGCACCTTTGGTCTAATCTGCAAATAAAGATATACTTCGTTATATCACTAGTTGTCACTAGCGCAAATCACATCAAGGCATTTCCAGTGGCAGAACCTTCATCAAAATATAAGATTTATATGACAAGTTGTATTTGCTGCTGTAGTTCCAGATTGGAACCCATACTCCCAAATTACTCGATTTCTTTTTTTATTTTTTAAGGCTCACTACGATCGGCATACTAGAAGTCTGAATGACCATATTCAAGTGAATGGCCTCAGCTTTCAAAAAACACAAATGCACCTCCGATTAAAAAAAGTGTCGCGAAATGATCCGCCGTTATAATATCATCAAAAAAATAGATCAATGTATGCTAAATTTCATACTGAACGACATAGTCATATTATTGATGATAATAACGTAGATCTATGAAAAGATTTAATTATTGCGAAAACTAGCTGGATGCCTTAAGACTGTATTGCAGGTATTAACATAAGACGCAATTGTAGATGTGGTGAAATGCTGCTGGCATTCTCACGTCGCACATTTTCACTGTAAAGTCAATTGAGAGCTATATTTGGGCGTAGCGCTCAATTCAGTCATCGGCGGGCAAGTTTTCGTCGCCACAAAACAAAATATAGACACCATGTGTGTAATCGTATTGTTTCAAACATAAAATTTCGATATCGGCTACAAGAGAATGGGCTGGGAAACGGCTGTGAGGCATTAAAAAGTTCTGTAAAAGTAGGTGGAGTTCGTGATGTAAACCTCTCCACATTCTTGTAATGAGCAACTTGTGAGGCAGCTAATTCCACTATTTTTCTAAAGTTTTATTGCTAGCCTTAGCAGACGTGCTATTTGCAGAAAAACACCTTAAGCAAATATCAGGAAGACACCTATTGCTTGATAATGTAGAAGCGTGCTTTCCTACTTTGTATGACGCACTCCGACAGGCGTCTTGATTTGTCTCAGAGTTACTGACTGCTGCATCCGAGCAGCTTTCATTACTTGCCGGCGGACTTCTTGAGCAAACGCGAAGAGTATGCTCAGAAACTGGGAAAAAGAAAGGATAATGCAAAATACCGAATCTTTCGTCGTCCTTCGCTCCACTTGAGATTTGTTTCGATCCTTCCCGTTTGAACATTAGATACACTCCTAACCATTTCATCATTATGGATCGAAAACGTTAAATGTAATGTTATTCGCAATTTTTTTTATTACGCATGATCTTTTGTTACGAATGCCCTGACGGTTATTCCATTGATGCGAACAACGGTGCTGTTGTAAGTGTTGTCGTGGCTCTGGTTTTTTCCGCAATGAAACAAAAAACGTGGTAAGGGAGGCGTGCAAGTTCGGGCGAAAAACAGCTGTTTAAAAAGATAACCAGCATAATTGGATGGAACCAGGAGTCTATGCATAAGTTGTCTTGCCCTTTCCGATTATGCTACTACTGTAGTAAGACAGACTTTCGTCGCCGTATTGACGGACTGAAATAATAAATTAAATCAATAAATTGCTATTATTATAAGTAAATTATTATTTAATTTTTTTACATCAAGAAAGCAAGCGGCTGTAGCCGCTCAAACTGTCCATTAATAAATATCAGGATATATGGTCTGCCTTGTGTACACACAAATATTACGCCGCATTACACGACCAACCGCATATACTACACGTCAAGTGTGATCAAATTGTTTACACGGAGGACCTTGTTTAACTCCACTCGCTTACCTTTTGGAAACTTAACTAGAGCGTTTATTAAGTCTGACCTTAGTTTGGGTTCCGAAGCTGAACCCCTTGCGGTTGTTAAATCAGCTTATTGCACTATTTTCTTTATTTCATTAGAGTTACCTTTTATTGTTCTATTGCAATTTCCTTCTGGTTCTCCAGTAAGCCCGTGGAAGTCTACTGCAAACATCCCATGCTGTTGCCATATTATGCCATTCCTTTGTTTCCGTAAAAAAGGTCTAAAATTTAAATAAAAAATTTGCCAAAGTTCTTCCGAGGAGAAAGCCTTATACTTGTTTATGCTAGCTATCCATTTAGTCAACTCTTGGAGTTTCTTACGTAGTTTTTCAAAATACTTTATCAAATTTTTAAGAGCATCACTACGCAAAACTGGAAATCGACAAAAAACTGACTTAAGCTTTTCCGCATAAAAAAAAACTTTCAAAATAAACTCGTGCGAATATACGATTTGTTCTGTGACAACTGCTTAATACTACAGAAGAAACTGAAACTGTATGCACGTAAATAAATTAATTGATATTACCTTATGACTAGAGCTGTATTCGGTCTCAGATTGGCTGCGTGATGCAGAGTAAGACCCGCAACCTGTCTGTATAAAGTAATGCTATACGAATATGCCCCATCTATAATCGACATGTGTTTGTTTAACAACGACGTGCAATGCCTATTTCACGCTTAGTTGCTCGAATTTTCTATACTAGAAGCCTCAAGAGTCGAGTCGTTCTAATTCCCCGAAAAATATTGTTCGCTGTAAGCAGTCTTTTCCTACAGCTACACCAATTTCAAGGATTTTCCTATAACAACTTAGAGCTCCCGTTGCTGGAGTCACGATAAGTCGCAGGCAGCTTCTGATAAACGCATTTGACAAGGGGAAGGCTAGCGAAAGAGTGGACACTTCTGCTCATCAATTTTCTTCGAATGTCTTCTCGATCCGAATACGTAACCTAGAATTACATGACCATAAAGTAAGTCTCAATTTCAAATTTATAATAGTTATAGGAACTTAGTATTTTTCACGGTTGTATTCAACTGAATTTGATCTATTGAAACTTTGAATTATAAATAGCATAGATCAAAGCACCAGTAGTGATTCAGTAATACTATAAATGCTTCTAGCTATGCTTTTTCAACGGAAGCATTGTGCGATTATCAAGGAAGCTTGGTAGGTAACCCGGAAATAGAATATAATTAGCTGCTTATATATAATTTGAAACATTTTTTTGTTTACAGGCGAAACTTCACGTAGAAGACGTTTAAAGTCATGTTTAGTCCCATTGTTCTCCCACACAATGTTTCTTAAAGCCAAAGTTTCGAGTGGATATGTCGATTGAATGGCTAGAACAGTTTCGACTTTAATTTGCCATTAAAATGTCTATCATTCACTGTAAATAAATATAACCATCTGTGGTAGGTACATGTATATCGTATATTAAATCATAGGTTCCTTAAACCAATACTGTATTCCGTCAACTGACGCCATGTTTTATAGTTAAACGAATAAGCACTAAGGTGATCCTAGCATAAAGATGGCCTTTGCAATCAAGTAGGCAAGCCGGAAAGCACTTAATGCAAGTGATGCATTGGATCAGATGCCTCCTTTCGATTCGATGTATAGCAAATACGTTTTTTCATTTTACGGAGCACCGTGAATCGTTAAGCTAGGTGTTTGAGCAAAGATACATTGCTTCCATCGGTGCAAAAATCTCCACCATAATCTTTTCGAGATTAACCGTGATTTAAATGAATTTAGCATTTAGCAAGGCTGTCCGCCTGAAAGCGCTTTCAAGCTGAATGACGAGAGATGGACGCTTGTGTCCAACGTGATATGAAAGTTACACAGTTTCTATAAGGATTCAATAAAAGTGTAGGAAAGAAACAGTTTGATGTGTGTAAGGTAAGTTGTGATGAACATAGCAATCGTATAAGACGATTTTTGTCGAGCGGAATCGCTAATTTAATTAATTTCGAGCTGTCTCAATCACATACCCATCGACAACTCGAACGGTAGATATTGCTTACCCGTGGTTTCTGCCCGCGTTAAAAGCTCATACCAGCGTATCTTCGAATTGTAAGTATTCATCAGGATAAATGTTAATTGATTATGTAGTCTCGAGATATATATACTTCGAGTTTCATGCAACCTATATATAAAATATGTTTAAAAAAGTTATTTCTTTGTTTTTAAAAATAATTTTTGTCTCACTTGGAAGTCAAGAACAATTTTATCTACGGCTGTTTAAAAATAACAAGCACATGCTTACTGTGTTAATAATAGGAGAATAGGATAGCAAGGGCTGTTTCTACTGTGATCTGAAGCCGACGAAGCAAAGAATAGTATTAATATTGGATGCACGGTAAGAGAGATGAAAAACTATGCCAACAAGCAACAAGTACCTGAAGCGCACGTGTATCGCAGCTGCTTCGAATAGACCGTGCAACTAGCGAAGACGGAGGGATCAGTCTGTATTGGACGCGATAAACGTTGTCGTCGAAACGTAAACTTCTGCTTCCACCAAACTTCGATTGTTTCGAATTATTCGGTGATTGCAGTTTTGACCCTATGTACACAAACTGTACTTAGCGATGTTTCTGGTCGACGGCAGTGGTTGAACAGGTAACGCGGTTTCTAATTGTTACTTAACGACAGTAATAGCACTAAACGCAGTAAAAACTGTTACTGAATTCCCTCTGGAAATAACGACGTACATTTGTACACTGGATCCTGGCTAATATAGGACAAACGACAATAATGGTGACTGGCATCACAAAGGACGATATTAAGGTGAAACAACGAACAGTC